TCCATGTCCACAGGTCCCTCCATCTGCTTTGCTTGTTAATATGTACTATAACAGTGCCTGAATAAAGTGACAATTAGATAAATATTAGTTGAATGGCCAAGAACAGAGTCCTGGATTGTTCTCCAAATTTTGGTTTTTAATGACTCTTATTAGCAATTATTGCTGACCTATTCTTCAGTTAACATTAAGAGGTTAGGGCATTTTCTGTTCTCTTTCTCAGCATAAGTGAAAACTAAATTTAGATATAATTGTTTAATCTGTTATGTTAACTAGAATATACTCTTAAAACCACACATTTTTAGTCAAAAGATACTACTTTTTTGACTTAATACAATTAAATGTGATGAATGATTCTGAGACTTTGATTCCAAAATAATTTTTAAGTGTTGAGTGGAGTATGCCTTTCAATGTGATTTCATACATAGCATTCATTGAAGGATCTACCCCGAGTTAGTCGCACCTGATTCCTTCATGCTCATATGGTATGCAAGTGCAAATCTGTTTTCTACTTGTTTTTGAATTACTCTCTAAATGTTATCCATTGCTTCATTTTATTTTCTTGTACTTACTATTCAAACAGGTTGTGATTGTGGAAAAGATTTCTAAGTGGCAGAGGCAAACGTGGTTACATACTATTCATTTTCTACAGTTCCTAGAGAGGAGTCATTCTGCTGATGAGGTTTAATTTTCAAGATATTAGAAAGCTTTTATGGGCAGTAAAAAGATAGAGTTTGGAGGATCATGATCTGAAATTTACCTGGGCAAAAGCAGGAAAAACAAAGTATCTGAAAAACAAAATAAAAAAAAGCAAAAAAGGCTCAAGTGGTAAAAGATTTTCCTAGCAAGCAAGAGGCCCTGAGTTCAATCTCCATTACTGCCTCCCATTTAAAAGCTTTTCAGTTTCAGGAGGTATTAAATAGGAATATTACTGTAGTGTAAGTTTCTAAAATGTTTTTACTTAAGTTGTGATTATCTGATCATTTGCTGAGAGTAAGATGTGAAGAAATACTCAGGAGTGTATTGGGAAGAAAGGTGCATTGATAGTGACAAAATACCTGAGATAATCAGGTTAAAGAAGGAAGGTGTATTTTGGCTCATGCTTTCAGTCAATGGTCACATGGCCCTATTGCTTTGGATTTGTGGCAACTTAGCATGTCACGTAGCAGACCTTTGCAGAGGACAACTACTCACCTCATGGCAGAGAGAGTCTGGGGGGACCAGGTCCTAATATCCCCTCAAAGGGCCAGAACCGCACATTATTTTTCGGTTCCCTAACTTCCTTCCACTAGGCCTCAATCCTAAAGTTTCTAACATCTCCTAATGGTGTCACAGGCTGGGGACCAATCTTCAAAAATGGGTCAAATTATAACAAAAGGAATTAAAAAAAAACTCTTAGAGAAAGTAGACAAAAGTTGAAAGAAGGCACTGTTCATAGTTTCTTTTTTTAAAATTAGGACTATGTCTGTAAAGAAATGGCTTTACACTGTACGTCTTAATAAAGTACTGAAAGAGACAAGTGACTTACCACTTATTATAGGGCAATAGAAATTCTATTTTTCTGGTATATTGTATAGTCTCATAAGACTTTGAATGTATTCATTTCAGTTTTCCTTAAGCAATGACATTTTCAATGATTTCTGGTACAAAGCCAATGAAATACAGGAAAACAAAGTTCATATCCATTTGTACAAAAAGTTACTTTATTTCTTCCTCTCTTGGACTTTCCCATCATATTTTTACTGATCTAGTCTCAAGTTATTGCATCTCTTTGACTGTTCTGTCTACCACATGCATTCCCTCCAAGAGACAAAACCCTTTGATTTACTCATGTGCCACATCTTCTTTGCTTCCTTCCTCTTGGCAGAACTCTCAATTATGCTTTTTTAGTGTCATAATGATGCTTTCTGGCTGCTCTTTGACATAAGTATAGTTATTTGCATATTTATCTAATACTGTCTCAAACTTCAGAACAAACCCCTGGAAGATACATTTTTGTTACCTTCTTTTAGTTCTTACAGTGCCAATATGTATGGGTTACTAAACTATGAGATCAATGAATTTTTAGGGTTAGTTTGTTTCAATGTTGACACCACTGCTATTATTCTTATAGGACCATTTCTTGAACTGTAATCGTATAGTGGTCCATATCTCAAGTAGTAAAAACACTATGTCTTTCTTATTATTGCTTATGTTTTCTCTTGAACAGAATTAGGAAAAGGGCAGAACAGTTTCTGCCTGGAAGTGTGGAAGGTGGGGGGAGAAATTTCCCAAAGAATGTATGCACATATGAATAAATGAATAAAGAATAAAAGAAGAAGAAGAAAGAAAACCATGGAAGAAGAAAGAAGACTCACTCTGGTTAGAAAAGGAGTGATTGATATATTCTTCTCAAATATTCTCTCTTACTACCTCTTGCAACACCATTTCACACCTATGGCTTGCTCAATCTTGTCTGAAATTTACAACATGCAGTTTCCATGTCACAGTCAAGGACTATCACCTCCTCAGTAGTTTACTTGAAGTCTTAAATTCATGCTTTGAATCAACACTTTGTAAAACAAAATGTGTGAAATGCAAGTAGGGTAATGTTGAACTTACATTTTGTATGATGATACTGTCCTTCATTGGAAAATTTCACTCATGATAAATACCATCATCTCTGTTGGAAATATCTAGAAATTGATGGGAAGAAAACTAAGTAGGACACATAATAGAATTGCATGTATTCAACATAAATAACTTAGAAATAATGAATATACATGTTTCTCCCATACTCTTCTGTGTTTTAAAAGAAAAAGATGAACTCTGAGTGAGGGCATTGATATTTTGTAGGCATTCAAGAGGAAAGAGAGGGGTGATATTTGGTTTTGTACATGGTATTCTGTTGTGTTCTGAAAGGTGTGGGTCTTCACAGTTAGAGACAGAAGCAAGACTCAGATCAAAACATCACTCCTTATGGAGAAAAGAGATGGGCTATTGCTGGAAAACATTCCTAATACTTTGGGAAAGTTTTAGCTTCATTATTTCTTGAAAAACAGGTAGAAAGTTGCTTTGAATCATGACCTCTAGAAGTGGCAAGTTCTGCTTGTGCTAAGACTATGGCACCTCAATTGATAAAGGCAAGAATATTCCTAAAATATACAAAAATTTCAGGAAAGACAAAAGAGGGAAGTGAAAGGAAAACGGTGGATGCAATTTGCTTCCTGATCTAATAATTAATGTAGATACAGTTTTTCACCAAGTTCAATATGCTAACTGCATCTTATCATTCAATTCTATCTTTTTATTCCTTTTCTTTCATCTTATCTTTCTCTCCTCCCCTATGCCTTTCTCTAGCTTTGGCTTTATTCCACCCGTTCATCTTTTTATTTAATATCTATCAGGATGTACAATGGGATGTTTCCCATTGTGTACTGTCTAGAAATCCCAGCAGAATCCATGACCCTCCTTCAAAAGCCCCTTGGGAATCCCACTACCTTCTAAGGACTGGGTCTTTACATCAGCACTCATCCTAGCTTGTTTAAAGTGTGGTGAACAAGCTGAGCCACCCTCATTCAATCAATCAATTCTATCTAGACTGAACAGTGAACATTAGATATTTTTAGGGATTGGATGTGGGAGTTACCATTTAGTGGTCTAGTAGAGAGTACCTGTAAGGCTGCTTCTCTAAGATAATTGTTGATAGAGATAATTACTCATGGGATTTAAGAAGGGAAGAATGGTGTCTCATTCCTGAGGTGATTGTCTGCTAATGAACTCTATTTTCTGATTCTCTCTATGTTAATGTGAATAGGAGAAGAGATTTGTAAGATCCAAGAGAGGGCTCAGCAGTGATTTGCATTTATTGCTACTCTATTGCTTAGAGTGGTTATGATACATTAATTTCCTGTAAGTTGGAAGATGGCTAACTTTGGGACAGTTTTCTTCGTTGGGTGCATTTAGGGTAAGGCACCTCCAGTAGAGCCTGTAAAGGATTCTACAGAGCGCAGCACTGTGAGGTAGATAGGAGAATCAAGCCAGGGCATTTCTGCTGAAACCACACTAGTGTGCCCCACAGGAGAGACACACCTGTCATTCAGAAGAAATTCAAGTCCCGTGCCTGTCAGAATTGTGAAGTCAATCACAGTACCTCATAAAACAGTGCTCTCAGAAACTGATTTATTTCTCCTAATTGTTTATGTTACTCTGACATGGAAAGGAATAGAGATCCAGTAGAAAGAAGGGAATGAAATACTTTCAGTTACTGACATCTGCTTTACCTGATATCCTATGAGCCACAAAAGGAAGAGAGGAAAATCTTAAATATTTGGCATATGAAATGTGGCTGAAACTTGAGTGAAAAAGTCTTGTGAAAATTAGAGTGACTAGAACACATGGAATGTGTCCAGAAAGATTCTAATGGGATGGGAACTCAGTGAAGCATAATTGGAAAGAGCTACTGGAGAAGTCTAGAGCCATTTTGTATGTTTGCATCCTAACTATTTTTAGACTTTGCCATTGCAGAGCACTAGCAGTGTCTATCTCATCACTTGAAAGTCAGCTCACAGAACATGGTGACTTTCATAAAGCATCCTGAGGATTCTGTCTTATTGATGGGATTGTTATGAATGGTAATGAAACTTTTGGATTGCAATAATTACCTATGTTAACTTACTGTGGTTCTAAAGTTAATTATTAATTGTCTTATTTGCAATCCTGTTTTCTCTTATTTGTCACAAATATCCTGTTTGTGACAAATAAGAGAAAAATCCTGTTTTCTCTTATTTGTCACTACTCAATGGTAGTGATATGTTTCCTTTTGATTTTCCATTAAATGAAGAAAAGAAACTTTGACAAATTGGCTTTTTAGATTTTGACACTTGTAAAGAGTCAGTTTTTATTTTTTTATGTAGAGACCCATTACACCCAAGTACACATTCAAAAGCTATAAAACCAAAAGAAGCTTGTCAAGAGGTACATCTATGAGAACCATCTCAGACATAGAGGGGATGGATGTGGGATTAGCAGCTGCCTTCATGGACAACTTTGCACTTCAGGATCTTGAGAAAATTGTCAACCTTATTTGTATCCCTGCGTAGGCAGTGGAACAGGTTATAAAATCCCACAAGGCGAGAGTTTTTGTCACCATTTTGCAGTGATGAAAGTCCAGACCAGGCAGCGAAGATGTCATCGTTTACGACTCCAGGTTCAACCTAGTCACCAAAAAAATAGTCACTTATTATTCATACTATTAGTATTTGTTTATACCCTTCCTTCTAATTGCTGAATTATGATCTGTGGATGATACAGGAATGGAAAACATAAGCCAAAGACATGGTTTTTTGTGTATCTGGATCAGCGTGTCATAAAATTAAAAGTAGGACATATGTATAAGTTTTCTGGTATAAGAGAGATCACAGATTAATTATTGTCTTATAGGAATAGATAGGTGAAAAAGCAGAAAGTTGCTGTTTCAAAATACACTTGGCTTTGACTAAGGGAGTTTGGATGAGTTGGTATCTGTTATTTTATTGAGTGACTTTTACATTTCCCAAATCTTGTCCCTAACATGGCCTCTGCACTTTAGTCCTTCTGATAGTTCGCCATTTATTTTTTCCTTCCATTGAACTGAATCCATTGTTCAGAGAATGTATGTACCAAAATCTTAGAAATAATGAGGAAAGCATTAAATGCTTTAAGATGTAGATAATCTGATGATGAGTATGGTGAAGATCTGCTGATGTATTTAGGGAGTCTTTCATTTAAATCAGGAAAGGTCCCTTCCAAATTTCTATGAAGAGTAGCTGTTTTCTTTTTAGTTCTCTGTGATGGGAGGTAGTGGGCTAAGGACGGTGCTGCAAAGACCCCTCAGTGGTGAGGACTGTGTGCTAAGGCATGACTAGGAGTACAAAAAGAACCTGTGAAACATCTTGAGAGAAGGGGCAGTTTGTACCTCTGGACTTTATTGACTTATGCAAGCTGGGAATCTCCAGAGATTTTAGAGAAAAGGAACTATCTTGTTACTTTAAGGATGTCTGAGTTAGAGAGCCAACTAGGTACCAGTCTGAGATAATTGTAGATTTTGACTTGCAGACCTTTCTCTTACAGAGTAAGCATATTTTTTATAAATCAGATTACCTATCAGAATTTATATGTATTGTCTGGCTTTAAGCTTTTTATATTTGATAAAAAAATTTTTGAGAAAATTGTTGGGAATATTTATTGTGGGAGGTATAATTACATTAACATAATTAAATAAAGAAGTGGGCAGAAAAAAGGAATAGAAAAATAAAGCATTATGGAAAACCTTAGCTACATTAGGAAGTAAGCTTATACTAATAAAGAAAATAAATTGTAACATAGGTGTTTATTTCATAGGTGGCTAGATTAATGTGTTCTTTGTATTTGTTGTGTTTTTGCTCAGATTCGTATTCTTCTCCCATGAAAATGACAAAAATATCACATGATACCATGTACTTAGTATACAAAAGGAAGTATAAAATTGCTTCTGCTATTACTTCTATAGCCATAGGTTTTTCTATATATGACACATAATTTCTGAAAATTTCAGAAAGCTGGAATCTCACTAAAGTTGAAATTATCCTATCAGAATGGAGATAAATACTGAAAATACTAATTTAATCTAAATATGATGAATTTTTACAATGGTTATTTATAATATATGAGTTTAGATTTGGATCCCCAAGCAAAACAAAGTCTAGGATGAAATATTTTTCTAGATATTATGAAATTAGGAGAATTTGAGAAAAAACACACCCTTCCTTTTGTGACATCTAGTATTCTGAGACACCATTGAAGCTATGGCATCTTCTTTTCAGTCTTTCCTTGGTGATGGGGCAGGGAAGGGAGCTACAGTTCAGTGTGATTTTGATTTTCTCATTTCTCTCTTCCTACTCTAATCCTCTGGTCTGAGTAGAATGGAGAAAGAATCTGACCAGCATTTCAATGCATGTATCCTGAGATACTTTGAAAAGAGCAATTATCTTGCAGATTCTATTCTCTGATTTTCTTTCTCTGGAACAATTTTACCCCATTCCCAGGGAAAGGGAAGCATTGGTGGATTTGTGGACAGTGTAAGGAAGCTGCACCTGTTAAATAAGGAAAGCTATTGGTAAGGTTGATGTTCTTCAGGATCTCACACTATGGATGACTAAGGCCTGGCCTAGTCATTTACACCATGGGATGCCTATTTGTTCTAGCAAAGTGAGGAATTTAAACCCCATTTCCCATCACAGAGGTTGCCTCTTTCATTGATGAGAAAATCAAAGAATATCAAAGACTGCTCACCTGTTTGATTATCTTCTCCACGCCCTCTCGAAGTTGATGGGTTTTATACTCAATCTCTTGGACTCTTCTAATCATATCCGCTGGGAATTCTTTCATATCCCTCACTGTGGTGGTCAGGTGCTGCAGAGGGTCTTCCCAGGAGCTCAATAAGCCTCAGACCATATTCAGAAGTGTTCCAGACTGATCAACCACATTGAATATCACATTAAAGGAAGTGAAATACAGCAGGATTGGTAACATGTAATTTTTGTGCAGAAGTTGTACTACAATATCTCTTTGTTCTTCCTATGTATATGTAAAATTTTTCTGTAGATAATACAATTTTTAGAAATACAAACTGCATGGCATTGTTAAAATTACAAAACTGGTTTATTTAAAGAACTGACTATTTGTGGAGGTATATATATATACAAACACACACACACATATATAGATATGTCATGTGAATGATGTTTACTTTAAACTATGTTTAGACTGGTTAGGGCATTATTTCAGAAGAGAGAGATTACAACAATAAAAACCTGGAGCTGGTTTGATGTGTAGATTTTGTTGTCATCAGAAGAGAGAATAGAGTTGCTGCTGCAAGAAACATAGTATTTTGTAGGATCTGCTTGGTAAGGTGTGTTTCAATTAAGATGCAGCATGAGATAGAAGGGTCAGGGAAGAATGAGGAAGTAAGTGTTAGAGAAGTAGAAGTAGAACTGGAAGTCTCTTGAAATTCTAGACATGAAGGCTCAAATCCTTCAATGATCAGGGATGTAGTATGATGTCAATGGAGGAGCATTACATAACTGCACTTGCATTTCTTACTACTATCCTATGTGGCTATTTACTCATGCATGTCCAACTTGCCCGACACATTCCTTCAGAATGATATATGCAATCCTAGGTATAAGGCATTGGGTGAAATGTCGTCTGTATGCACAATTTATAGATCTACTGCAGGCTTATGTAGAATTTGTTTTTACTTATAATTTATCAGCTACATAATGTAAATATTCTTAGATTGCATTCTTTTCTCCATTTTTCTCTGCATATGTGATTACTATACTTATTTTAGTGACTCTAATAATTTATGGTACAGCAACCCTAGAATGCTGCCTCAGCTGTTTTGGTAGAAAACCTGGGCTTAAGACTTACCTCAGTATTTAGGGCTTGGTCTTTGTCTGCTGGAGTAGGAATGGAAGAAGTGTGGCAGCTGTTGATGGCCCTGGAAATGAACTCCTGGCCAGTGGCATATGTTTTTTGCTAGAAATGATAGAGAAAATTCAATTAGTTATAGCTTAGAAATTGTATAAGCTAATCCATTAGCAGAATATTCATACAGTTGGTAGATGTGTAATTTTCTCAAAAAGAGCACTGCATATTATTGAACCTAGGGAATTAACAAACAAGTCCTTTTCCCTACTTTTTTTGCAATTAGTTTGTAATCTCATTGTTTTCATCTAACTTTTCAAACCTTTGAACTTCTTCTCTTCTTTACTATTCCTGTATTGTCACAACCTTCCTTTCACCCTTCCTTTGGGTTGCTATTTGAAAAGCAAACACTAAATGCTGTCAAACTACAAACCATCAAGTGTTGTTAATACCAAATGCCAAAGTACATAAGTATCTGTTTATCCATTTAGTCTCTTATTTCTTGTGTGTCTTACAAATATGCTTCTTTTAATCAGACATTATAAAATTGCAATTTTTCTTTCAATTACCTCTGAATACACATAGCTGTACCTCACCAAGTTTATCAGGAATTCAAAATTCAATATTACTGGTTGTGAAAATATAAGTCGAAAGTAACAGAGCATCACTTTCAGAAAATATTAATATGTGAATAGATTAAAAGCTGAAAAAAATAGTAAACTTCATGGTTTAAAAATAACATTTGGCAAAAATTGTGAAATCTTACAAGGATTAGTAAGAAGATGTGGAAGACGAAGGATGGTCAGTTAAAACAAGGAATAAAAGAAAAACTAGTGAGTGAAAATAATTTTATGAATATATACTTAATTGCAAATATTGAATGAGTCACTTTCTCTGGAGGCCCAATGATATACTGAAGCCCTAATGTATTGTGGGCTCCTTGCCTGACTTAGATCTAAAATACAACTTTGAAAGTACCTTCATCAGGAAGAAAAACTGTTTCCAATTGTAAACCAGCATTTGTGTTTTAATTATCAATTCATGCACTGGATATCTTAAAACGATGATTCCTAGCATTTTCGGGGTTTGGAAAAGCCTTTTTTTTTTTCTTTTTGAATTGGCTTTTCCCCCTTCTGACATGGCTTCAGTTCAGCCTAATTCTATTCCACCCACCCAGTTCAATTCAATGCAATTGTCGTTTATTGAATATCTACAGTATGCCAAATACAGAATGCCCAGGGAGACTGGTTTCTGAGCACAAAAATCTGGTTCTTCTTATAACTTATGAATGGCTTTACGTCTGGTTTTAGATTTTTAATATAGATGAATTAATGAAAATCTGTAAAAATCATTGCATTCTTTAAGAATCTTTGAGCTTTCATGAAACTGGAGCTTTCTCCTTTTTTCCACCTTTTATTATCTGATGCCTTCTTTTACTTAAAGGTATTTTGTTTACAATTTGGTTCATGAGATTTACTTTTATTAAATTGCATACAGTCTTCTCATTGGCATGAAGGCTTCTTTGGGAAGAAGCAATGAGTGGGATACTTACAAAGTCCCTGAATGCGTCTTCAGCAACTTTATAGATGTTGTCAGACAGGGCGACTGCACGGGTGAACAGGTCTTGGAGGCTCAAGCGGCAGTTCGCAGCCCCACCTGCACAGGCAGGGCTGGCAGCCACATTCTTGCAGAGAAGGAGGTTTAACACCAGCAGCAGCAGGAGTGATCCTGTGTAAACAAAAACACAACCCACTTTGAGATGATCTATTCTGCCGAGGTTATCAGATGTAATTCTGCTGTGGGAAACTTCCTCCCTCAGCACTGTCCTTTTCTACAGGAATTGCTAGTATAGCTGGTGTGGGAGAAGAAGCAACACCTTCCACTGTATCAATTTAGATATATATAATTATATTTGTACAGATATGTAGTTTGAGAAGTGGGTGACTTTCTGCATTTCTGTATTGGTTCCAGAAGTGCTTGTATACTTTGCAAAGATTTGGAGCTTAAATTAATTCTGAAGCAGGGTGTTTAAGTCATTCTCAAGATAATCTAATGTCTTGGGTGTTTCTGCAGATTTTTGGTGGTAATAGTTTATAATTTTTTAAGTCAATGTCCAATATTTGCATTTTGGGCTCCAATGTGACAAAGACAGTGCAGTTCATCGGTGTGTTTTATCTTCATGGCTGACAAGAATAAACTCATGAATGCTTGATTGCTAATATGGATTATGAAAAGAATCCTATCATAAAAATAATGCTGTAGGCTGGGTGGCTAACTCACCATTATAATCCCACACATTTGTCTGAAACTTTGCCAAACCATTCAGATTTTTTCTTTCGAAATTTGGGCTTTGCAATGCTCCTGTGAATAGACTGGGCCTTCTTAGTAATCACTAAATCATATTGATGAAATAGAAGGCTCAGAGGTGAAATGAATCCTCTCTCTTTATTAGCAGATAGGGCAGGCAGAACACCAACACCATGGTCTTTGTCTTCACCTTGTCACATCATACACACCTGTGGGCCCTCACTTTGCATGTGTATCAGGGACCACATCATTATTCCTGAGATCAGTGTTTGTAGAGGTTGTTACCATTACTTTTAAAGAACAACACTCTGCCTTTATTATATGGTAACAGAGGCCCTACATAACTTGATTTTATCCCATTTTCCTGCTCTATCAAACACCCACATTAAAAATCACAAGGATCAGTGGTGGTTTTATCATCACTTTGCTGTCTCAGCAGATGGACAGATACCTATCATTAACATATCAATAATTTACACTCTGAAAGGAAAGAAACAGCACACAGGTGCCCAATTAATATCACTCTTTAACATAGTGACATAATTCCAAGAACTTCTGATATAAACATGCATTTCTCAGTTCCATTGAATCTTTGACAGATGCAATTGGAAATGTCTAAGAAAAATAATGCAATGTTAAAGACTAATGTGTGAAAAAACACCAACTCCAAGTATCCCAAGTAAGTTCAAATATACTTAAAAGTTGTTTGGTTTATAATGTAACTAAACAAATTGTTAGGTACAAATTTAAAATAATCTTGTGAAATAACTCATATTACAGATCTTTAAATTTTCCAAACCACAATGCTTCTAAAAGTTGCTTAATATATGTTATAGTCATATAATGTAGGTGAAGAGATGTTTTGTCTACATGTATAAAAGAATTGTGCTTTGAAAATAGAGAATGCAGACTAGTACTCTAGGATATTCCTAACTGAATATTCTTTAATGCTGAGAACACTTATCTATGTGTTTATTATCTGTGGGATTTTCATAGTCTATGATGATAAAACAGACAAATATTTTATTATTCATTTCATAAAACAAATTTTGTTGTTAGTAGTAATTTTTTTTCTTGAAAATATCAGTAAAGGCTGGTGCAGTGGTTCAAGTGGTAGAGCACCTGCCTTGCAAGTATAAGGCCCTGAATTGAAACCCCAGTACCACCAAAAAATAGAAAAAGAAAAAGAAAGAAAAGAAAAAAGAAAATATCACCAAGAAATTACAGTCTATTATTTAGCCCTTGCCTGTTTTTCCTTGTGAAATGCCATTTGGCTTGAACCAAATTGACAAAGCAGCATGAGATGCATATTTGCTAACATTGTCTGCATTATGACTCAGAATAATTTCATCAGGTTGATTCAAATGGTGTAATTCATATAAGAGATCTTGGAGCCAGAAAGTGTGAACTTTTTTCTTCTGAAGTATGACAATGTGGATGTACAAACTCTTGAGGTCTTATTCTAGTATAGTTCTTGATCTCAGAATCATTTGTCTTTTGAGTTGGGTTATTTCATGTTCTGGGAGCTGTCCTTGGAGAATGCATTGGAGGATATTTAGCAGCCTCCCTGGTTTCTACCCATCGAACACCAGTATAATCTTACCCTTTCCTGCCTTATCTCAATTTAGACAATGCAAAATGTCTCTAGGAGAAGGAGGATCCACTATTCATGAATGACTGATCTATTCCATTGTGCCCTTCCTTGTGCAATTGCTTTCTAGAATAATGATTAGAAGATTCTTATAACCCTGTTTGCCTTAAACTTCTTGTAAATTACCTAATATTTCACATTATTTTACCCCCAAACACCAGATTGTTCACAAATCCATTGAGCAGTTGCACATACCTTTCCATGATGACTGCTTGCTGTCCATGGTGGTGGTCATTCAGGAACACACTTCACCCAAAAAGACCTGGGAGTTGTACAACTTTCTCCTGTGAAGATGTTGGCTTATAAACCTTTGACATATTCATGAATATATTTAATCAGACATTCTCCCTTTCCAGTAACCAAATTCCTTCATTAAGATGACCCCCACAATCTCAAACCAAATGCTATTTTATTTCTATTCATATTTAGGAAGACATACTGGCCTGAAATGAAGGATTTTGATTAATTAGAGCAAAAGGAAATGAGAAAACTGATGAATGTGAGATCTTTATACTAGTTGGGGTAGAAGATGTATAAAACTATAGAACCCCATTACTTTGAAATTTACCTTTAGTTCTCTGCAATTTCAGAAAATATAGCATTATATTTAACTTAAAATGGTCTCATGTATTGTGTTGTAAAATTTCTCATTCAAGATTGTTAAGTCAATTGAGTTTTAAAAATTTATGTCCTTTTTACCAGAAGATACAGAATAAATTCAGATTATGCTCCTGATTGAATCTCTTGTTTTTTCTAGCTTTTTCAAATTTTATGTAGTCCATTTTCAATAACATATCTATATTATACTTTGTTTTTAAAATGCATTCTCTCCTATGTTTATCCCCAATAAATCCTTTGTTTTCAGTATATATGTATAGTGCTTACAAATGTGTGTGTGTGTATATATATATGTATATATACGTATATATATGCATACAGTTATAGTTTTATCTCTTTCATATATATGAAGTTGTATCATTATCCCATTCACAGTCTAAGAAACAGAAGTTTAGAGACACTAAAAATAAGGAGGATGGAAAGAATAATTTGTCTATAGTCAAGTTAGATGCAGGAAGGATATTGTTTCAAGAGGAATTTGGATGGATGTGAGAAAGGTTCAGAAATGAAATATTTATACTTATTGATGTTTACCCACACCTAGATAAGCAAAATACCAACCCTGACCCGAGAGAATTTATTTTGAAGGAACAAAATAGTAGTTTTTCAGGTCAAACGCATACATTGTACACACATATATTTACAAAGATCCCAATACAGGATGTAATAAACTCCAATTCCACTCAATTATTTCTACTCTTTCCTATAGGATGTTAAACTGTTTTTAGCTAACATGACCCATCTACTTTCCTTGACCTTAGCTCACTCTGGGACAACATACAAAAACAATCATTATCCATTGGCTCAGAAGTTCTATTACCTGTTAGACAATTCCTAAATGAAATGATTATGATGAATAAGAATGAATCATTGATGACTTTTCTAATTATTAAGTCCATGTATCTACATCAAGTAAGATTTTACTTTCAATTTTTGTGTCTTTGAGGGAAGACTGACAGATGAGGAAATTTAAAAATAATCTCTTCCCATTACATTTACTTTTTCTGTAACTGTTAGTATTAATATGTGCTTTAACAATTATCTAAGTGCTGATATGGAGACTTAGAAATCTTAACAAAGAATAACATATTTGTGAAAGTATTTTTTCTCATTGTCTTAGCTTAAGCAAAGCTAGATTTTGAATCGTAAGCATCAAATGTGATGATTGATAAGCTCTATCATTCTAAAAGTGGGGTTGGGATACTATAGACTTATGGTGGATATCCATTTTGCTCCCTAGACAAGGAAAGTCTGAATTATTAAGACAGCAAAGCTGTATAGTAGCGAAGTTATGTAGTCCTACATTACCTTTTCCCTGCAGAAACTTATGTGCAAGAAAATATACTGTAATGATTGACAGTGATGAGGGAGGGGAACATGGTGGATCAGTATCATTTTGACTCTTTGAGAGAGTCAGGTTACACAAGAAAGACTAGCTCTGAAGACAGAGAAGAAAACATTGGAATCACGAAAGAGATGGCAGAAATCAAAAAAGCACAAAGAAAGCTGGCAACAAGGAAAGCAGCAAACAGTTCCAAGCCATCCTTGGCTCCCTGGGAGGCAGAGGGCAAGCTGAAGACCCAATCACAAGGTCAGTCAGAGGGACCTGACAACAAACTGGAAATTCTAGCTGCAAGAAAGCCCACACCTCCTTAAATCCAGTGAAGGGATTTGGAAGATAATGACTGCTCTGGTGTAAAGGCTAGCCTTTGTGAAGAAATACATTTTGTCACTCCCTCATCTCAGAATGCCACAGTAAGGTGACTTTTGAGAAAGGGTTGGTGAAAGCTATGGATTGAGACTGAGATTCTCTGGGGCTAGAGAACAAGCAATAGTCATGGCTCAGGAGTAGAGGGAACCCTATCAAAGTGTGTTGCTGAGAGATGGCATTGAGATGGTCAAGTAGAGGGAGAGAGTCTTACCTGGTCCTGCAGAGAAGCAAGTGGGATCCACTGCAGTGAAGGATATACTGGTGGCAGGCCACATGCTCCCTTATAAAGTCCAAGTCCAGTCACCTCAGGGTCACATGAAAACAAACAACAGCATGGTATTCAGCCTACAGGGCCTGTCTTCAGGCTATCTGTGTTTGTTGCTAGGTGGGCATAGGCCTTTCAGACTCCCTGTACCAGAAAACATCCTTCTTACTTCATATTATAGTTAGGTCATTAGACATCCAGAATGAGGAAAGTGTATTGAACAAGACAGAAGTATGAAAACACCTTGAAAGGCAAACCTATCAGAGGAGCAGCAGATTTCTCAACAGAACTTTAAATGCAAAGAGAACATGGATTAATATATTTCAAGCCCTGAAAAAAGATAACTGTGAACCTAGGTTACTGTACCTGGAAAAAATATCCTTCATAATCAAAGGAGAAATAAGAACCTTCCATAATAAACAGAAACTAAAGCAATTCATGATCACTACACCTGCACTGCAAAAGATTCTTAGAAGACTTGTATCTTTCAATAATAATTTGCATGTTAATGTCTTTGTCTCTGAAAGACACAGACTAGGAAACACATTTTTCTCAGCAGCCCATGGAACTTTCTCTGAAATATACATCATATCTTAGGACATAAATCAAGTCTTAGCCAATACCTGAAAATTCACATAATTTCTTATATTTTATTAGACCCCTACAGAAACCATGAACAGGCTGAGAAAGAAATCAGGAAAGTAAAACCATTCACAAAAGCTTCAAAAGTTAATATCTAGAAATAAACTTAATGAATATGTGAAAGGCCTCTAAATGAAAACTATGAAATTTGAAGAAAAATTGAAAAGACACTAGAAGACAGAAAGAGTGTCTATGCTCATGGATAAGCAGAATTAATATTTTGAAAATGTCTGTACTACCAGAACCAAGCTCAATCTCAATGCAATTCCAGAAAAATTCCAAGGTCATTTTTTTAGAAATAGAAAAAAATTGTAAAATTTGTACAGAATCTCAAAAGACCCCAATAACCAATGCAATCCTAAACAATGCTGACTTAAATTATACTATAGAGCCATAGTAACAAAAACAGCGTGATACTGACAAAGAAATAGAAAATAGTCCAATGGAATAGAAAATATCTAGAAAGAAGCCTGCACAGCTACAGCCATCTGATTGTTGGCAAAGGTGCCAAAAACATAGTTGGAGAAAAGACTGGCACTTCAACACACGGTGCTGGGAAATTGGATATTCACATTTAGAAGAGTGATCCTAGAACTCTAATCTTTAACCTTGTATAAAATCAATCCAAAATATCTAGTTTAAGGCCTGAAACTTTGAAACTATTATAGAAAAACATAGGGAAGCATCTTGAAGTTACAGGCATAGGTAACTCCTTTTGAATAGGACACCAATTGCTCAGGAGATATGAATAAGAACTGAAAAATGGAATTATATCAAATAAGAAATTTCAGCACAATAAAGAATCAATATCAAAACTATGAGGCAACCCAGAATGGGAGAAAATCTTTGCCAGATATTCATCAGATAAAGAATTAATATCCAGAATATATAAGAAGCTGCACCAATTGAACACCAAAAAAAAAAAAAACCCAAATCAATGCAATAGTAAATGGGCAAATCAATTGAAGAAATTCTTCAAAAGAAGTACAAATGGCCAATATATGTTTTCCTTTAGCCATCAAGGAAATGCAAATCAAAACAACATTGAGATTTCATATTGTCCCCCAGTCAGAATGCCAAGCATTAAGGAAACAAACAAGAAATGTTGGGAGTGTGTGAGGAAAATGAGCACTTCTATGCAGTTGGTAGGTACGTAAATTAGTGCAGCCACTATGGAAATAAGAATAGAGTTCCTCTAAAATCTAAAAGATGGCCAGGCATCAGTGGCTCATGTCTGTAAACCTAGTTACTTGGAAGTCAAAGTACTTCATTCACACGTATGAAAATTGAATACTGAAACCTGTTAAAATTGTTTTGAAGAGAAAGAGTAATGATGAGATAAATTTGATCAAAGTCCATTATATGCATTTGTGAAATATCACAATGAAACCCTTTGACACTAATATGCATTCCTTACAAAAGGAAAAATGAAGAACAGAAGTGACAACTTATCTTAAATTTTGAAGTGTTGCTGTTTTGTAGATAACCTGAGAAAACCAGAGTTGTGTTTATTCAGTAGAGGAAAATTGATTTATTTGACTACAAAGAACTTACATGTTTCACTGTAAATTTATTGTGCTTCCTTGCTGCCTTAGAGCCCCTCATTTCCTGTGAATGGGATAGTGCAATATCTAAATAATGCAAAAGGCATATTTATGTGAAAAGTCATAGTTGACTATTTTTCTATGTATTATACGTATCATCACTTTCCCCTTAATATTTGTATGTACTCTTTTGTGAATGTTTTACTTTATCAAACTGTGCCCTACATTAGAGCAGTGAAAAATTCATTAAGGATGGACTTATCTGTTTTCAATGGAAAACTTCACTTGTTTGACTTTTTTTACAGTTTTCCAAAAAGTGGAACTCATGACAATACGGATACATGAACAGTTTATGTATGTTCTGTCTTTTTAAATTTTCTTCTAATGGTCACCAATGATTGGTTAGTTGCTAAATCTAAATAATTCTGTGAGTCATTACCTGT